GGGCGTGCACCGAGGTCTTACATCATACAGTCAGGGGATAGGGCGTGTACCGAGGTCTTACATCATACAGTCTGGGGATAGGGCGTGCACCGAGGTCTTACATCATACAGTCTGGGGATAGGGCGTGCACCGAGGTCTTACATCATACAGTCAGGGGATAGGGCGTGCACCGAGGTCTTACATCATACAGTCAGGGGATAGGGCGTGCACCGAGGTCTTACATCATACAGTCAGGGATAGGGCGTGTACCGAGGTCTTACATCATACAGTCTGGGGATAGGGCTTACCGCCGGAACCACAAACACCTGAAGCCCTACGTCGACCCTCCCTCCATGCCTTCTTCACCTGTTGCCACCCCAGAGCCTACTCCAATGTCCGTTCTCTTACCTCCGCCACCAGCTGTCCAGCCGGTGGAGCCTGATGTCACACCACCGTCACCTCAGCCAGCTGCCGCTCCAGCCAGTCCAGCTCCAATAACTACCCGAAGTGGACGAGTGGTCAGGAGACCCGCTCGTTACCCGGACTGATGTTCTTGCGACCCAGTCGTATCCTTTCGATGACAAATTTTACTTTTTGTTTATTCTTTGCTGCTTACCCAACAGTTGTGTAGACTTACCGGTTCGAGGTAATTTATTTTCTTAGTTTCGGTATCTGGACGCTATGCAGTTCTATGAACGTGACAAAGACAATATGAAATGTGGTAATTCTGAAGTACCAAAGAACTTTATGGAAATGTTTTTACCAAGTTCTCAAGTGCAAGCCCCGAATCTTCAAAGACAATTGAACTCTGTGTGTGAATTTGGTTAAAGTTAGAACATTCCCCTTTGGTTATCATCAGAGACTCGAAACCAATAATCTTTATTCCATTTTGGGGTTTTCCTTTTCTTCAATATTAAAAGGAGAGATGTCACGGTAGTCACCGTATTGTACCTTACTCTTTTTGAATCACGGGACGTAAGAGCCCTGTATGCCATGGGCTTTTGGTGAATGTTACTCACTTCGGGGATCAACATAAAAAGTCAGACACTACACCCGGGCTCACGATTAGAATGCTTGCTGTCGTGTGTGTTCGTCTCTCCAGTTTACAGTCGTGTAAGTATACTAACATTACAGCAATGTCGCTTTTTCCCTTAGTTACTCCCACATTTTTAAAGATTACGCGAAAACCGCTAAACACAGAAGCTTGAAATTTTAAGGGAATAAAGAAAAATGGTGTACAACGTATCAGTCAGTTTGACAAATCACAGCTCCGAAAAATCTTCAAAGCGCACCACATCAACCACTTTCACAAACGTTTTCAACTGCTTTTAGGATGGGTACAATGTTGTCAAACTGCATACTACGAGATTGACCTCTTTTCTGATTGGCTGCCAAGTTTCATTCATATCCATTCACGAGAAGCGGCGTGAGAGCGAGTTGAAGACAACAACCGTTGCGTTAGTGCGTCCCACGAAACACCCCCCGGTGCGGGGACCAAAAATGGGCAGAACAAAACGCGCTCGGTGGGGATTGCTAAATCATATGGACTAACAAGAAACGCATATATGTGGAAGACATTGAGACTGTTGTCAATGCAATAGGTACGTGCCTTACAAATAAAAGACATCAAGACATTAAAAGATCAACAAAACAGTAGCAAAGTTACAAAGAAACATTAAGAAATTAGATATTCACCTTCAGAATTTTCATCATAATTTCAAAATTATTTGTACCCCCCCCCCCCTTCCTAAAAAAAAACAAAAACAACAACAACAACAACAAAAAGCAAAAAAACAACAACGGGGATCTGCAGTGATCATGCAGATCTGGGTCTTGTTACTGGCATTTATCCACTTTTTCTTTGACCTTTTCTTCCCAGTCATGAGCAAAACGTTCATCTCACAGAAGTGCCATATTTGGTTAACCTCCCCACCCAATCTTCCACTATTCTTACAGCAGCCAAAGACACCCTTTCCCCTCTGAGGTGTAAGTTTATATTTTGAACGGCCCCTATAGGCCTAGATCTAA